AGGAATGTTTAATCTGAAAAATCTGGAGGAGGTTCCTGACACAAAAACATGGGTTGTCAAAACTGTTTTTCAGTGCTAGTCCAAGCCATCAAAAATAGTTCTGCCTTTTCTGAGCATTATTATTGATTTATGAAATAGCAGACGTGTCTGCTTGTGTGTCTGTGCATGCATGCATGCACTAACGGGATCTTACACTCTCCTCCCTTCCCCACTGCCCCACAGGGAGGAAAAAGAGAGTTGTTAAAGGTAACAGGAGAAGTGAGAAGAACAATGAGAATGAGAAGAGACAAACATGACACATGAGGGCTACAGACCAATGTCTTAGTGCTGTGTCACAGAGAGCAACAGCAGACCAGGTCTCTTCCCATGGCCTGTGGCACCCTGCTGCAATGACAGAAGATAACAACTTTCTTTTGATAGGTGACCTAAAACCTAGAGCTCCAAGGAACAGAATCACCAAACTAGTACAGAACTTTGTGTCTCTAGATGGCCATTCCTCATTGAAGTGTTATTTATAATAATGTTTGTGACCCTCCAGCACATCTCCTCTTCACTATACTGTATTTAGATTTGTTCTGCAATATCCCTAAAAAAGTATTTAATCTCCCTTCCTGGATTTACAACCTCTTGAAGTTAGTGAGAGCTAAAGTAAGTCTATTTATTGCTATCCTCAGTGGAGAATCTTTGGTCAAAATGTTTGAGATACAACCATCTGTGAGAAACAGTATCTGATGTTTAAACCTATGTGGGTGTAAGTTTGCAGTGGCTTCTTTTATGGTCAAGCTCACTGATACAGAAGCAGTGAAATAATGAGTATGCATTAGCATCTGAAAATGGAAAGAATTCATATGACGGTTACTCTCTGATGGCTCATCTCAGGACACAACATTCATTCGGCATCCTGTATCATGCCCCTTGTCTAATTCTTCTTTCAAGAGAGCTCAAAACCTCAGAGGAAATAATAAAAATACAATAAAGTGGAGGCAAAACCACAAATGGATCTGCATGCAAAGGTCTACCTGTGTCTTGTCTTGGGCCAGGATTCATGCAATACTGGCAAAAATAGCATAGGGCAATTATTTCAGGGCAAAGGTGAATTAGTTTTGATTAATGCTGTGATTTTATTATTTTCTGAAAATCAAGAGATTTAAAGCATGTTCTTCCTTTTAATGAGCATAGTATTCCTTCCCAGATTAGACAGTGCTGAAGACGAACACGGAGGGGGTAATCTGTTATTACAGGCTGATGTTACAGAGTAACCATGAGTGTGAGTTTGTATGAATGGCACCTAAGTATATTGTTAGGATAGAGAAACAGTTGCCAGAGAAAAACCTGCTTCTCCCCTCCCCCAAAATAATAAATTACATGCTCAGAAGATGCTTTATGTCTCACAGGATGGTTAAGTTCTGGGGACCAGCATCCGTCTGCAAGAACTCACAAACTCAAAACACCAAGAATTTGCTGAACTAGTACACAGCCACCAACACACACGAGCATCAGCCATTCATGACATGGACCACATACATGAAGGCAGAGACTGCTAAAGGCAGATGTTTGAATGTGTGAGTGAATTGCTTTAGTAAGTGGCTGTGTTGTATGAACAGTTATCTGGTTTTAAAAAGAACAGCTTGATGCTACCATTAATAACAGCTTAATGAATAAAGGCATTCTAATAAACAGTAGCTGCGAACAGTTTCTCCCCCTACATCAATACTCCTTGAAGGGAAGGGAATTTACAACAGAAATGTGCAAAACCCAAGTAAGACTGGAACACAAGGCCATGAAAATTAATGCTTGACTTATTGATGGCCAATTCCACAAATATTGATCATGACTTTCAGTAAGATGTGGCCATGGCTCCTGGTAGAGTAAATTATGAGCCTAGAACAAGTTATAGTGAATATTTTTCTGAAGTTTGTCCTAAGAAATACTTAAGTTTTTGTGATGATCTGGAGCTGAGAGACAGTTTCCCTCCCCTCAGTAATGATTCTCTTCTCTAGAAACAGAACTTTTTAAGAGAAGCCAGACCTCTGATAGAGTTTTTCTGCTTAAGACAGACCACCTGGAATTACAGTGAATTAGTCTGTCATTAGGTATAATTATCCTTTTCTTTCAGTAAGATTGAAATTGTTCTGCTGAGCTTTGGCTGCCTGCAGTGCTAAGAAATTATGACCTTGAAACTGTTAGGAGACCACTGAAATGAATTCACTTCAGTAGCTTTCACAGTTCCTTGAGCAAAACAATTCCTGGTCATTCTGGCAAGGACTTACTCTAAATTGTGGTTCCAGAAATGGAAGACATAAAAAAAATAAATAAATTAATAGACTAAAGCAGCTAGACAGAATTTTCTATTTACTCTCAAACTTATCTATATTGGAAAAGGGCTATAGTGAGATTAATGCATTAACTTTTCATTCCTGAATCTGGTTTTGATGCCACTAGAGGACTGAGAATTATTTAACTCCAGCTGTTTTGATACATCACTTGTGAACTGGATGACTGTTGTTTGTTGAGTAAGCAAGCAGCCACATAAAAATCATTCTTAAATGAATTCAGTGGAGCGCTCCCACTGCTAAGAGGTTGATCTTTTGAAAAAGATAAAAAATTTACATGCTTTGCTGAATTTGTAAAGGAACATGGTTCTTTCAGAGAGTGGCCAGAGCTCAGGCTTTACATTTATGAGCTATAACTTCTGCTACTACAAACCCTAAGAGGGTTTATATTGCATTCACTTGTTCATTTAGTTTTTGCTACGAGATCCAATCTCTGCTTCTGTTAGAAATTCACAAAACAAATCTAAACTGAAGTCTTGAAAAAAAAAACGAGCAAAATATATCTTACTGCCCTTTGAGTGGTCCTCGATGGCAGCTGAAGCACCCTGGTCCCTCTGAGGATGTCACACAGCACATCAGCATGGCCACCCAGCAGCCAGGAGAGAGGGCTCAAACCAGTATTGATGCCTGCTTCTGTACAGCACTGCACTGACAGCTTTGGCTCTCAGAAACTGTTTCCAGTGCTTAGCTTAGGACGTTCTGAGTGTAGTGTCGAGTTAGAGACTCTGTGTCTCATGGTCTGCTTAGTACTGCTTAGTACTTAGCACATAATGGGTACTGATAGCTGTTGGCACTTATTAAAACTGCTATAAATGAGATTTTCTAGGTTGCACATAATTGGAGGCCAATGTGCAAAGAAAGATTTACAAAATGTTACTAGGTTGTTACCACATTACCCTACTATTATTACTGCCCTATGCCAAGTAACTACTGTCACTTACATCACTTAGGTAACTGTTGCTGCTTATGTAATTTACATAAAAAGAAAGAACTAGCTTTCTGGCATAAACTCAGTCCTGCCAGCTGCACTGCATGAGGGAAAAACTGCATGCAGTTTAGACCTTGGTCACAAAAATGTGATTCTTGATTGATGATGATGATGATGATTGAGATGCGGTGACTGCAGAAAACTCACCTGACAGTTCACAGCCAAGAAGCTCCATTCTCAAAGTGCAGTGTCTTCTGCACACCTGAGGATACAGCCGTATGTATTGTGACTTAATTGGAGGGGTGAAGGAGTTAGCATATGGGGTGTTGTTGTCCACGTTTCCACGAAACACCTGTGATAAAACAACATGGTCATAAAAATATGCCAGGAGGATTACTGGAGGCTCAGTTGCTTTCCTCTTCTCAAAAATATCTGTGTTGTTTTTCTGACTGTTCCTGCACATTTCTCTGCATGCTTTCCCCAAACAGCAGCTGTTTTATCACTTCTAGTGCCCAACATACATGGTTTTAAGCAAAACATGCTGCCACTGGCTTGCATTGCCATGTGTTTGCTACTTGAGCTGAATCAGGACCTAGATCTTTTTAGTCCTAGAAACGGAAGTTACTAATGCAACTAAAGCATGTCTTCTGTTCTAATTAGTGCGTTAAATACTCCCAATTCAATTTACCCCAAAATTAGTTATGCTGATTGACATTTATTTTTTTCCCCTGTACTCCCAGTGAAGTGCACTGTAGCCCCCCCTTTGGTGGCAGGGGGAGCTGAAATAAACCTGTAAGCATTCTTCTGTTCACTCCTCACTCTAACCAGATACAGTTGTACTTTGCTCTCTTCCCTCATTATATACCTGTCCACACAGGATTTTAATTTCTTAATAGAGAAACTGTGTCTAATGCTGCAAAGTGCCTTAGTTCTATCTTAACTTACAGAGTAAAGGGATTTTTGCTGCTTGGTATGCACAACCGTATAAAAAATAAGTGGAAACAATAAACTGTAAATACATACTTCCCACTGGATGATACTGTTTGTGCACTAAAGAGATTAGCATTGATCAATGGGTTCTATGCTTTTAAGGGTTAACACTAATCTGCTAATGTAATAAAACCAAATTGAAAACAGAGTAATGAGTAATTACTTGTAAACTAATTAAAATGAAAATCAGTTAAGTGTAATAAACAGCATTATTCTAGCCTTGGGACACAGTATTTATACCATCATCAATTAAAGCATAAGGAATCCTTAGTAGACAGAAAGTGATGGGGTGTTTTTCAGGGAAAAGTAATAACAAAGTGACCTATATAGTACTGTCAGGCAATAATGCTTATTTCCTAAAGATACTTCAGACCTCTCAAAGCAGCTAAACCTCAAGATGTATTCATATACAAATGTCTTAATCATACCATATCTTCATTTGTGCCTTTTACTTTGTACATTGTCCATGACTTCCCATCATTACTGTATGCAATTTTGTAAGATTTTACATATTCTGGACTTCCAATCCTCTTGGCACCTTGAGTTATAACTCCAGTGACCCGCATCTTCTTCTGCAGGTTTATCTGAAATAATAGTACAATGTTATTATTAACTATTTGAGGGACACAACTCTGAAACTCTGACTCCAGCTTTTTTTTTTTTTTTTTAAAGAGAGAAAGGGAAAACATATAGATATAGCATTTAACTTACTATATTTACACCTGAAAAAATATTTTTTTCATTAATTTTATGTACATATGCACATAAAGAAATGAAAAAAAAAAAACTTGAAACAAAAGCCTGTACTATGCTTACATCTTCATGTGTATGTGGAAACACATATAAATACATAACATTGACATATAGGATATTACTGGTGCATTACTAGGATATAGTGCATTATTGGTATAGGATTATTGATACATATCTCTTTCCTAAAAATGCAACATTGTGATGATTTACCAAAGGGTGAATCTTCTGCTCTATTAGAAGCCAATTTGCAATCCCATACAAAATAGCCTAAGTTCAAGTTAAATTTCTTTGTGAAAATAAAAATACGTGGATGTTCTGTTAAGTAAACACAAAGATCTTTTCTTGGCTCTCACTGAAAATTCATGGCTAAAGATCATGGTTGAAATGCTAATCCCAAAACACTCAATTGCAAAATATCAGTGGCTATCACTGGGTATGAAAGCTCCCTGTGTACTTGTCTGAGCTGACCTTAACACTTTGAGGTAAAAACAAGGATGTACAGAGAGTCCAACAATACTCAGATAACCTTAATTTTGCCTTCTTTATCCATCTACAATATGCAAGAGCCACAAAATGTAAATATATTGCCACAAATTTAAAATATGATATTCAAATCTAACAATGCTGGCATCATCAGCCTTGTCTCAGCAATTAAGTCAACCATGAAGCAAGTGTCCCACCACCCTCTCGCGGGTAGGCAGCTGAAGACTGTAACTTTTGCACCCAATGAAGCTTAACAAAGAGCTGTCATACTGTGAGAACTGCGTGAAGGCACAGGCAGACATGCGATAAAAATAAATGAATGGAAATACTAGAGAGGAAACAACCGGAACAATGTAAATAATTCATTAAACCACATGAGCACTTGCTTCCTCCAAATGAACCTTATCTCTGCTCCCTGATTAGTGGAGCTGACCTATGTCCCTATGTCTGAGTATGTCCCTACTATTTGGGACAGCAGGCCCAGCACAGGAATATGAAGAGGCAGAGATGGATCAGGCATCGGCTGTAAAATACTTTAACCCCTTTAACCTTTACAGTGTGGTCTCAGTATTTTCTCTTACTTGGTAATGTAATCTAGCTTCTATAAAGGTTGTAAGGTGATCAAACCTCAGTGTTTCAATATCTTACTGTGTAAACCATGGGAAAGTGGAGAAAGACAGACTTTAGTGCTGATTTTTTTTTTTTTTTGTTTGTTTGTTTTTGTTTTGTGGCCTAGCTATTTCTCTGCTTCTTATCTCAGATAGTTGGCATTCTGACACTTTTCTTCTTGAGGCAAACAAAATTTTAGTGTAGTTTTACCATACTTCTTCCTGCAAGTAATTAATAAGCACTCAACCACCTTCAGAATGATACTGGGTGTTTAGTTTTGGTTGTTTTTGAGGTTTAGACCTATTGAGAGAGAATAAACTGCCCATAAAAGATGAGATTTTTTAATTTTTTTTTTACATACTTTTCCTTACATACACCAGGCAAACTCTGAACACTTGCAATTGCAATGAGGAGAATGGACTCACACCAGAAATATAGACAGGTATAAATGAGAAGAGATTCTGGCATTTTTACAGCCTTGGGAAATATTATTCTTCTCCATTCCAGATTTCCCGAAGGAAAAAAAAGACACATTATCATCGTAAGAGGATAGCTCCAGAGACTACCATCAGCCTCCAGATACATTTAAAAACACAGTTAACATAGAAAAGTAACCAGAAAGACAGAGAGAGGTTTCTGGAATTATTTTCTGTAGATTTCATTCTCTATATCGAATTTAAGAATATTAATAAACAGACAAGTAAAAAAAAAAAAGCCTACATATTTACAAAATTGTTAAAAACATAAGTGAACACCATCTTCAAAACCAAATTATATAGAACAGCTAAACAGAATCCAACCAACTTTTACACATACTGACTAAGCATCTTCACAGTTTGCGAAAAGTAAGGTATAGTGTAACAGCAAATAAATTTTCTTTGATCCAGTTATGCATGTAATTAATATTCCTTCAGATTTACTCTAAAATAAAAACAATCGATTTTTAAACACTCATTTAATAAACATACTCTTTAGTCTGCATTCTTTCAGTTTCAGGACATAAAATGTCTGCTTTTGTTCTGCCTACACCAGCCTGCTCTATACCCTTACCTGGATTTCTTCAAGCATCAGGTATACAGTTTTATTTACTTCTCTGATTTAATAGGTAGAATCTTTCATTTTAGAGTCCTTCTTAATCAGAATCCATACTCTGAGTCACAAACTGAGAGTTCAGAGAACCACAGAATGTTAGGGGTTGGACGGGACCTCTAGGGATCATCTAGTTCGACCCCCTTGCACAAGAAGGGCCACCTAGATCAGGTGACACAGGAAACACATCCAGGAGGGTTCTTGAAAGTGTCCAGAGAAGGAGACCCCACAACCTCTCTGGGCAGCCTGTTCTAGTGCTCCATCATCCTCACCATAAAGAAGTTTCTCCTTATGTTGAGGTGGAAATTCCTATATTCTAGCTTATACCCATTGTTCTTTGTCCTATTACTGGGCACTGCTGAAAAGAGACTGACACCTTCCTCTTGACACTCATCCTTCAGATATTTATAGACATTAATAAGATCCCCTTGACTGAGGTCTTTTCAAGACTAAAGAGCCCAAATTCTTTCAGCCTTTCTTCATAGGAGAGATGTTCCAGTCCTTTAATCATCCTCCTAGCTCTCCATTGGACTCTCCCCAGTAGATCCTGTCTCTCTTGAATTAGGGAGCCCAACACTGTACACACTATTCCAGGTGTGGTCTCACCAGGGCAGAGTAGAGGAGGAACAGAACCTCCCTCGACCTGCTGGACATACTTTTTTAAATGCACCCCAGGATACCACTGGCCCCCTTGGCCACAAGGGCATATTGCTGTCCCATGGATAACTTACTGTCCACTTGGACTCCAAGGTCATTCTCCATGGAGCTGCATTCCAACAGGACAACTCCTAATCTGTACTGGTGCCTGGTGTTATTCCTCCAGTCCTGCAAGACTCTACACTTGCCCTTATTAATCTTAATGAGGTTCACCTTTGCCCAGCTCTCTAGCTTGTCTAGATCTTTCTGGATGGCAGCACAGCCCTGTGGTGTGCCAGCCACTCCTCCCAGTGGGGTACCATCAGTGAATTTGCTGAGGGTACACCCTATCCACTCATCCAGGTCACTGATGAAGATATTGAACAAAACTGGACCCAGTACTGATTCCTGGGAAACACCACTGGCCACAAGCCTCCAACAGTGCTCAGCTGAAAAGGACCTGGAGGTGCTGTATGACAGCCAACTTAACATGAGCCAGCAGTGTGCCCAGGTGGCTGCATCAGGAATAGTGTTGCCAGCAGGACTAGGGAAGTGATTGTGCCCCTGTACTCAACACTGGTGAGGCTGCACCTCAAGTACTGTGTTCAATTCTGGACCCCTCACTACAAGAAGGATGCTGAGGTGATGGGGCGTGTCCAGAGAAGAGATATCAAGCTGGTGAAGAGTCGGGAGAACACAGCTGAGGGAACTGAGGATGTTTAGTCTGGAGAAGAGGAAGCTCAGGAGAGACTTCATTGCCCTCTACGATTACATGAAATGAGGCTGTAGGGAGGTGGGTGTTGGCCTGTTCTCCCAAGGGAATAATGACAGCACTAGAGGAAATGGTCTGAAGTTGCAGCAGGGAGGATTTAGATTGGACATTAGGAAGGATTTCTATACTGAAAGAGTGGTCCGGCACTGGAACAGCCTGCCCAGAGAGGTGGTGGAGTTACCATCACTGGATGTATTCAAGAAAAGTGTAGATGAGGCACTTCAGGGCATGCTCTACTGGCAGAGGTGGTAGGGCTTTTTGTTTGTTTGTTTTGTTGCTTTTGTTGTTGTTGCTGCTGTTTTTTGGTGGAGTGTGTGTGTGTTTGTTTTTGTTTGGGTTTTTTTTTTGTGTTGATGGTTGGAGTTGGTGATCTTGGAGGTCCTTTCCAACCATGGCAATTCTGTGACTCTGTGATTCTGTAACTTGTGACTCTGTGCTTTGGCTTTAAGCAGTAGTGAGCTTGAAGTAACACAGGAAATAAAAACAGGATCACGTGTTTCGTAATTAAGTCTGCATATTCTGTCAATGTTTGTGAGAAAATCCCAATGAAAAGGGAAAAAAATCCACTTTCAAATCTCTCCAGCTTTCTTACATACAAAATCCCCATGGGCATAATGTCACACCTGCAGTAGCTCCTTTTAGCACATATGGATCCACCAGGAATTAATTGGCCCACTTTGTCTGGGTTCTTTTACCTGTTTTAAATTTTTCGAGTCAGTGCTTAGCAAAACTCAAAATATTTTAACTCTACAATGACTAAAAGGAAGTGGGTGTTGAAATCTGTCTTACTCAATGCACTTCAGTAGGAAAAAAAGTTCCCAGTGTGAAATGTGAACTAGCTCTTTTAGCACTAAAAGCATTTCCAAGGGTATTTTTCTGTGGCAATTGTAAAGAAAAAGTTTAAGAAGCTCTGCTTTGTGGATTCACATATAGGACAGAATGTTATATATTCTAATTACATGGGTGACTGTGTTTGAAAACAAAGAGGTGAAAGTCACCCAGATAAAAACATGAATGTAAGACATATTTTTTAGAACAGTAATCACTTATTCAGTTATAAAGGACACCTTGTTACCTAGATTAACTGGAAAAAATCAAGGATGATAGAAGATCAATAGTATTCTGAGGGATTTACCCCAGTAATTGAAGTATCAATTCATGGTAAATACCTTGTAAGAAGATACTTGCATAGGAGTTTGAGGAAACTAGTTACAGCCCAAAAAAAGCCATCGATCAGTTCCA